GATCCCGTTTCTTTTTCCGCTCTCTCTCTTGCAAATGCAAGGGCAGAGTCTGGAGCTGGCGCCACAGAGCGTGCAGGACACCATGTAGCTTGCAGGGAGGGGGTGTGTTCTTCTCCCTCCCCCAGCACAGACGCTGCTATGCCTCGCAGGTCCCAGAGGTGCACCTGGCAGGAGAGCTGTCCCTCCTGGTGATCACTGGGGGCTCCTACCATTATCTGTGACAGGCTCTGCACTCCACTGTCCTCCCTCGGTCCAGAATCTTACCGATATGCATGGATTCAACTGCCAAACTAACACCACCAAGAGCAAAACCACCCCTTGTGTCACCTGTTAGACCCTCCTGTGTGTGCAGGGACGCCTCCTATCATGTGCACCCGCTACATTCCAGTGCTGAGGAAACCCAGGACGCCAGGGCCTTCAACAGTTCCCTCCAGGGAATCCCAGGTGGTAAGCCACAGGGGATGCCCGCCCGCCACCTCTCAAGCTGCCCCCTTCCCCTGCAGGATGCCAGGTTCCCGCGGTTCTAACCCGGCTACCCCCAGCTGACAGCCCTCCCACCTAGTCTATCACCTTCTCAGCATTTGCCAGGGTCGTTTTTAAAGGTGCTGATAGTGAGAAGGACGCCAAGAAAAGTACCCAAGGGTCTGAATGAGTGATGAGGCCATGCTCAACAAGAGCCACGTGAAGACTGTAAGGGCCGCCTCAAAACTGGCAGAACCACAGCCAGAAGCGAAATGCCCTATGAAAACCCGCCATCCCTCCACATCTCATCTCTTGCTCCCCGCCTTCCGGCACTCGTCCATGCAGAGGCGGCCACTCCTGCCCCTCCTGTGGCCCCGGCCAGGCCCGCTCTGAGCCTCTGGACTCCCTGTGTGTTCAGACAGGACACCGCGGTCCCCGCTCTGGTCTGGTCCTCACGGGAGCGCCTGGCTCACTTGGCCATGGGCTATAGCCCGCTGCGCAAGGCCCTGCAGATGGACAGTCCTCGGCCGCGGCAGGACTACCACCACTGCTGCAGGGCACCTCCCGCAGAGGCTTCAGCTGCACCTCAGGCCCAAGGCCGCCTCCTCCAGTCAGCCCCTGGCACTGCACCCACAGCTCTGGGAGGCAGGCACGACCCACCTGCGGCTTTCTCTTCGACGTCTTTGTACCAGAAATGTCCACGTGGTCATAAAACTCTGCTGAAACTCCCTGAAAATGCCGCCACGTTCATCCTCCCTCTGGGTTCCCACTGTCCCCAGTTGGAGCCTCGCTCACGTCCTGGCCTGGCACGTCCCCAGGGGCACCCTCCAGACCTGCCCACTCTCCACCGAGTCTAAGGGCCCACGCTGGCTCTCCAGGCCTGTGTCTGAAGCCGCCCAGCCAGACCACTCCCCTTCCGTTCCTGCTGGAAGGTCTGCCCCTGGAGCAATGGTTGTCTGTGCCCTCACACAAATCGGCTTTCCTGCCGCCCGTCTCCCCGGCTCTACCGCCTCTCGGAGTCCCTCTTGGTCTGAGCCCACCATCCACACTCTGAGCGCAGCAGACCCCTCCCCGAGATCTTCAGCAGGTGCAGGAACACACGGTATCTAGCACGCTGATTACCTTACAGGACATTCATAGCTTCCCGAGTGCGGCTGGCTCCTCGAGGGTGTGTGGGGTGTTTCTGCCAGCGCCCCACACATGTGGGGGGTGAAAGACTCACAGCCGTGACTGAGTCATGACACTGAGCACAACCGTCTTCTCTACTGAGAGAGGGTCCTTCCTACCATGAATAGGCTTCACCTGCCACCGAAGGGGCACCAATAACAGGTCTTAACAGGACTTCAGGGTTATGTGTGGGTTTTGTGACATTGCTAATCTAATCTAAACATCTGAGAATTCCCAGGCAGATGGATCCCCTAGACCTAATCCTCCCTCAGGTGCCAAGAGTATTCTCTAAAGACGCTGCAGGTCTTCCTGGTTCCTCGCTCACCCAAGTCATGGAGAAGAATGCAGCTCATCTGCCCCCCGAACCCATAGAGCCAGCAAGAGATGCCACGCGTCACCGCCCAGCCAGCAAGGGACGCGCCCGACCCTGGGAACGCGCCTCGGACACGGGAAGCCCTCCCGAGTGCCGGCCTCGCTGTCGCTGAGGTCTACACCGCACGCCCCCGTGCCGCCCAGCCTGGCCCAGGCACCCGGCCCGTTACCTCTCGGGCTCACAGGAATCTGCGACGGAAGGAAAACCTGTTTACAGAGCAGATCAGAGAGGGTCAGCAGTCCAAGCTGCTGCCACGCCAGGGACGCAGACCTGTTCTTCCCCAACACCTGCTCCAATATGGGGCACAGAAGTCTCCATCCAGACCTCACAGCTGCAACTCTACGTGTCACTCTTGTGTCACCTCTGCTAAGCCTTTAACCTCGCTGGCCTCAGGTCACTCGGCTGCACAACGGGGAGGCGTGTTCTGGCCAAGAGGCTCTGACTTTGCCGCAGCAGCTGCTCTGTGAAGCCAATACTCGATGATGCTCGTGCTGGGCAGCGCCCGGGGACACGAGGGAGGGAAGGGCAGGTAGGTGTGCAGAGGCTGAGCAGAGGCCACAGTCCTTGTCCCCAATCCCCCTCCACACAAGTCCCCACAGCACCAGAGACGCTGCTGCCCCTCTGCCAAGCACCACCTTGTCCTGCCGGCCCGGGGCACCCCGCTGCACATGCAGGGCCGGCTGTGCCAGGAGCACTGAGCTTCTCACCGGGAGCGTCTAAAGCGAGAAGCTCCTTGAACGAGCGCAGCCGGGCCCCCGGGCTTCTACTCAGGGTCAGATCCCCAAACCAAACAAGGATTTCTCTGATAAATACTTGCAAGAGCACTCGATCCACCAGAGCAGAAGCACCACCCAAAGGAACCCACAGGAATCACCTCAAAATGCCAATTCTCTCAATGACGTCAGCCTGAGACTCATTTCCTTCCCCTTTTCTGCTTTGTGATCCTTGGAATTAACATTAGTCTATTGTGTTTACTTGCAATAAACACTGGTCCTTCTGAGCACAGGGCTGTTTGCAAATAGTGTGTGGAGACAAAATATTTAAAATATTAGATACAGGGATACATTTAATGCAGCACTGGGAAATGCCCAGAGTGCTTCCCCGCTCACTCTGCTGGGTCTCCTCCAGTCCAGGTGAGCAATATGTGGGGGAAGCTGCCCATGCGAAATGGGCCTTCTCCCTTAATATGCCAGCTTAACACTAGAAATTTGCAGACGAAGTACCCTGTTGGAGGACTGTTGGAACTCAGTCCTTCTGCTATTTTTTATGTGCATCACATTGCTCTGAGTCATATAAAGCAACATATTGCAAACTGTCACCCTCTCTCTTCTGTTCTGTGTACAGGGATGAGGTAGTTACCAGATTTGTGCAGAAATGACTTGGGGGTTGACTGCTGAAGGAATGCCTTGCCCACCCTGCCCTTTGAGCAAATGCCCATCACTGTGGACATTTGTCCAGACAGTGGACTCTCCCTTGCAAACACAAGTCTTGGTAGAGAGAGTAACAAGGTGAGCCTGGTGGACAGGCCTGGCTGTCCCTGGTCAAACAGTATTCGCGGGTGAGGGCGGGCATGAGTGCACGTAAGTCCCCACAGAATGATGTCTCCCGCCGCGAGCCCTTTGGCGTGCTCCTCTCTGGACTTTTGGGGTTCCCATATTCCACGGAGGGCAGCCGAGGAGCAGGTGCACCCTACCTGACACCCTGGTGGAGGGATTCCAGCCGGGCAGCCCGAAGCTGGCTCAGGGTCTGGTCCCGGGCCACCCGGTGGCACAGGCACGCACACAGGAGATGCTCAGCTAAAATTCAGAGACTGCGATCCGCGGCCTTCTATGTGACAGGGGAGAAAGGAGGGGAGTGTGGCAAGAAACAGACTGAAGAGCCCAGAATGGGTACCGCCTCGGCGAGTCGGGGGAGCGGTGCTGGGGGACCAGGCGCCAGAGGCTGGGCGGTGCCTGATGCTACCACTGGGTAAGGGGCTCAGCGGCTGCTCCAACCCAAGCTACCAGACAGTGTTAAGAAGGATGAACTCTGGGGCGCCTGGGGGGCTCAGTCGTTGAGCGTCTGCTTTCGGCTCAGGTCGTGGTCCCAGGGTCCTGGGATCGAGCCCTG